TCAGCAGGGTTTTCCACAGTCATCTTGATAAGCCAACCTGCAGTTAGGAAATTAAAAAGAAAACCAGTTGCAAATATCCTACAAGAAAGATTAATTCATGTTACTACATTAGAAAAATATTCCCAGTAGGCACATAACACTGGTAGGATCAACAGGGTTTCTTGTGCAGGAAAACCAATGTTTCAGTACTTTAAAAAAGCGAAGAAACCATCTGTCCCACAAAATGGCCTTTTGAGTCAGACCAGTTGTCTAATTCAGTACCAACAGTGGCATTAAGGAGATGCCACTATAAAAAAAAAAAAGCATTAAAAAGTGTGACCTCTCAGTGTCATGAGCTGCTACAAGATTAAAAAAGAGAAACATGATCAAGGGAAATAGATTAAATTCAACCACAGTCTATGTCTGAAAAGAACACATTGTAAAACAGCTCTCAGCCAAGACAAGACTACAATAATATTTCCATGTTAAATTTTATTTGTCTTGAACTATATTCAATATATCCCATCAAAGCCTCCACATCACTAAACTGTAAGAACTAGGAATAGCAGAGCTATTTGTGACAGCAAGAATCCGGGAGGGACTCATTACTGAATGATAAAAATGACATCTTACCATCTTGATAACAAGATTTATTGACGAGCCCTGGATTATCTGCAAGGGCAGCATTAATCTCAGTCACTTCTCCTGAGAGCGGAGAGTAGAGTTCACTAGCAGCTTTCACACTTTCCAAAGCTCCAAACTCATCTGAAACAAAGGATATGACTGAATGCACATCAGGTTAAGAGGAGCCAGCTCTTGCTGCAAGAGCCCTAAATAGGCCTTTTATCTACAATTCAAACCTTTTTGTACATAATTTGGTTACAAAACAGACACAGCCACCATTTGAGGGATGCCAGTTTTTCTTCGGAAGCGCTATCAAGTGTTACACTGGCGCTCACTGGAACACACACTTTGGGATTCAGAGGCACCCCTGGAATCACTCGGCCTCTCCTCCCTTTTTCCTGTTCTGTAGGCAGTTATGGAAATGGTGCCTGGAGCAGCGTTAGGCCAGAGGGAACTCCAAGCCACAACAGAGACAGAGGCTGGAGCAACACGGAGCTGTCAGGAGGGTAGATAGGCATCAGCCCAAGGAATTGGGGAAAAAGGTGTTCTGGGGAAGCCTGGAATGAGGCTAAGGCCAGAACGGGTAGAAAAGAGAAGAACAAAGTGGAAATGAAATTCCCTCAGATAAAACAAAGCTAGAAGTTAGTTAATTAAAACCGTAAACCAAAAGACCTTTTGTCTAACATTCCCCATTCAATGTGGTGTAACAGATTTGGCCAAAACAGTTTGATATGGGCCTAATTCCACAAGAAGGCTGGCAGAGGAGAGGCCTGCTACTTTACCTCAGTGAAGCCACATTCATTCCCTGCAATGTCTGAAGCCAATGACAATCTTTTCTGCATATACCAGTGAGACAGCTCTCTATGCAAATACAGGAATAGGCTTTTCCTTTCTACCTGTTAATCCTCTCTTCTTTAACATGGAAAACTACAAACCTGAATGGTTAGAAGTGTAACAATTTGTACGTCACTAATGAGCAAAAACATATCATTAGAGTTGAAACTGAAAAACTGCTGAGTCTGTATAGTCATAATAAAAACAGAGCTTGATATAAATTAGATTTTTCACATCGTGCAACTCAAATGGGTAACTGTAGAATTGCTAATAAGCCAGCCTAAACACCAGCAAGTCCAAATCAAAGCATAAATATTTTAAGAACAGAAATTATTACAAAAAGTTATTTCAAACATTTGATTTTTAATTAAGTGTCTTCACAGTTTAATAAGCAGGTATTTTCTGCTACCTTGCATGGTCTGACAACAATAATTTGAAATTAAAGCTGTCTCTTGTAGAAATACCTGAATTTATTTTGAATCCAAATTTATAATGGTATTTCTAATTAAGTATAATTAATTCAAGAAATTAATAAAATTACTCTTTGCAAAGGGAGAGCCAGATGAGTAGAATAATTACTTCATTAGAACTGAAACTTACCGTGTTTATTCAATTTTGTCCCAATTTCTGGAAGACTACAGTAAACAACATCTCCTAATGCTTCCTTAAAAGAAAAACAAAAGCATCAAAGCATACATTAAAGAAACTATACACAGGAGAGATCTGATACAGTAACTCTAGAATCTCTATATAAGTAATCTTTATCTCTAAATTTATAGTTCTCATTCTTTAAGGACAGCATATTTTTCACTTTTTAAACATTTAACTTGAAAAAAAACTTGTTTGCTATCATGTTTTAAATGTTCTGTTATTGTTTGTTCATTATAGTGTTAATAACCCTCCAGCTGAGTTCCAAGGTTTAATGTACAGATCTCTTCAGGGAGAATGAGAAACAACATCTGATCTTCTTTGATCAGGGAGAGGAACAACTGTTTCAAAGGACAAAATTCCCAGCAGTCTGAGGGAATTATCCTTTTGTTACACAGCACAGAGGAACAATTTGAAAGGAAACCCAAAGACTCTTCCCCAGACACTCAGACAACTGGAGAGCTGTTAGCATACAGTTTGTCCTCTCTGAATTAATAAGGAGCCTTATCACCATAAGAATCAGCTCACCAAGAACAGGCTTCTGCCTCTTCACTCACAGGTGTCCCCTACCTCACAACAGGCCAGGGGTCTCACAGAGTATTCCTGTTACTTACAGAAAACTGACATTACACCAAGTGCTGCTTGTCCTAAGAAACATTAATTCTACTTCACTGACAGCTTCTTACATTAGATTTTATGTTTTACATACAGTGAGTCCAGATCTTGAATTTGCCTGTGACTGTTTGAAATCAAGTACTTGCATGAGAACAAAACAAAACAAAAAATCCAAAGGAATTCCTGTCCTTGGGTGACAAACACATGCCATGTTGTACTTCTAGTCACAACTGTTCACTAGCCAGAGGGGTCGCACCATATTCATGTGCAAGGGAAATTTGGCCTAAGAAGTGCACAATACCCTCTTCACGTAGCCACAAACTCCTCAGGCCTGTAAGAACTAAAGTAATAAAGGAGATTTTAGATTCTGCTGAA